CCCTCCCCCCAATTCAGCATTCGTCCTGTTCATCGGGACAAGTATACAAAAAAAACACACTAATTACTACAATATGTAATTGTGACTTTACTAAAAGGAACAAATTTTAATATAAGACCCTAGACCTCAAGAGCTTGAGACTCTTACCTTATGATGATGAATGATAATCCGATTTTTGATAAATCTCATCTTCTTTCTATATCTTCAAGCCCATAAAGAAATTAGAACATATGAATAGGCAGAACCATGCATGTATAGAAATAAAAAAAGAACAAACAAAGTTGGGGGTTATGGACTTGAAAAGACATAAAGCTTCTGAAGAGGTGCAATATGTGCCACTTTTTAAAATAAGATAAGTGGAAAAAGAGAGGAAAAGCTAGAAAAGAGAAAAAAGATAAATGGATTCCAGCACTATGGAATATGTCACAATATTTTATATATATATATTACAAATACAAAAATCATATATTTAGTGGAATAAAAATAAAAGTAAAAAAGTTGACGTAGATAAGTAAAATAAAGGTATAGGCATTAATTCCTATATTTAGTTCAAACTTTTTTTTCGACCAAGGAAGAGAAATTTTACAATAGAAATGCACAGGAAGTACAACTAACATGCTAATAAGCATAAATGTCCTAGTTGACTAAAAAGTAAGGAAAGACATGGAGAAAGAGGGGAATAAGAACATAACACTTACTCTATTTGCTTATCTCGACCCTCTCGCTTAGTGCATTAAAATCCCAAAAGAATTACCCAAAAGCAAATATAAAGAAAAATAAGAAAAATAATCACAATTACCTTTCGATTAACAAAACAAAAGGAAATAAAAACGCAAATTATAAAAATAGCCATACTCTGAATGACCAAAACAATGATTTTAAACATGTCAAAATTATTTGTCTTTTCCAATTGAACATGTTGAATATCATTACATGGATCTGAAAGAAAAATAAAAAAAATTAAAAATCACAAAAAGTTAGTCCAATAAAGTAACGAATGAACAATACCTTCTGATAAGAATTAACAACAGCAAAAAGGAAAATAGGCACACTATAAGAATATTCCTATTCTTAAAATGACTAACGCCACTACAATTTTGAAAGGGATAAACCTATTGTGGAGATTAAAAGGCACGACTCTTGGAAGAGGAAGAGAGAGGCTAATTAAAAAGATTAAAAGACATGACTGTTAATGTTTTTCTTTTCAAGTACATAAATGGAAAAATGAGGAAATGGGCATAATTTACATAAATTTATATAAATGAAATACAAACTTATTGATTAGTCAACTAAATCATAAGGAATACCACCTCCTCTTGTCCTTTGAACACAAATTTGAAACAACTGAAATGTTGTTATCGGAGGATACATACCATTTACCTGGAATAAGCAAAATTGACATTTAAATAAGTAACAAAAAATATATTATATATTTGTAAAACCAAAAGTCATGCCTTTTATCTGGAATAAGCAAAATCAATACTGAAATAAGTAACACAAAAATATTATATATTTGTAAATATTATTCAGATTTAAGAACTTACGGTATAACTTAGAGATGAATTCGGAGCGGCAAAATTGAAGTTCACCACCTTGATGTAAGCAAATGTTTTGTCGATAGTTCAACATTAGAGTGTATGAGGGATAATGAACTTTTTCTAGCCAATTCTCATACTATATATCTGTGACCAAACAAACAATTAGCATAGATGAAAAATGGCAATATTTTGTACTCACTGCAATCTTTTTATTAACTGACGGAAGAGAAAATAAACAACCCAAACGCAGCAGAAGAATGTTACGTAAATGCAATTTCTTTGTCAACAACAATAAAGTTTCAAATTCGCTAGAAGTACCATCTAAAAAACGTGATCATGCTTTGCAATTTTTGTAGTAAAAAAACTTACCGAAAAAAAAATCTAACTATAAGATCTCTCAAAATAAAATCCACAATTTGAAGATTTATCAGACTTT